AAACAGCATTATCAACGCGTTGTTGCGATTAGGGATAATATTTTCTGAAAACAAATGCTCGGTTAATGTGGAAAGCCCTTTTGTTGCCAAAAAAGACCTTTTAGGAACAATACTTTGGACGACTGCACTGATCCACCAAAAGTCCGAATTGGGTTAAAAGTAGATGGTGACTGCGGGGCTTTCAGCTTTTTAAGTTCCTTAGAAATTAAAGGACCCGAAGTCGGGCCTGCTTCACAGCTCATAAACAGCTGTCTCGCTTTCCAGATAATTTCTTTTATACACGAAATGACCTCTTAGGCCGTCATAACGTGAACGTAAGGGAGAGAAATATCTGGCCAATTCTCGTTAGAGTTGAGTTCTACGCAGAGACCAGCGGGACCATCGTCAGGTATGCGAGAAAATTTAAACCCTTATCTCCGTTCGAAGGGGTGATCCCCAATAGGCATACTTCATCCAGAAGCGTCAACAAAGTTCAAATTGCATATTGATGTACTTCGAATAACAAAACATGAGAGTTCTTCCTTGATTTTGTTCTCAAAGAACTTTCAGAAACAAAGAATGACCTATAGAGAGCAAATAAATTTTTCACCGCATATGATAGCCATTGTTTCCGTTAGTAAGGGAATCCTGAATTGGTTTTATTGAATCATACGAATAGGTTAGTCGAATACAGTATTTATACAGTTAAGCCTGGTATGAATTTGGCAACGTCTTTTATGGTTTGGTTCAATGTTTGCACAAACAAGGCTCGTCCATACGTGAAGACCTTCGGCAATGGTTATTGTGCATTTGCTTTCCCTCTTTTCCATTTGTGCAGGTCGAATACTGTGAGTCCAAGAATCGCCTCTGAGCTAAGCAAGTCGTGCTGAGGAGGGTTTTGAGTCGATTTCTTCACCTTGACTAAGTTAGTGGCGTAAAATCAAGAACGGCACTGTATTCGTGGGGTTACCCCCGGACGACATCTGAAATTAGCAGTCTGAGCCATATTTGCTATTGTGTGGCAATAAGTTCAGACTGTCCTATTTTAGGCAAAGTCTGTTAAACTAACTTTCACTCTTCTAAAGGCACCGTGGAGAAGGGTAGACCGAGCGAAGTACTGACGCGCGGGGATATTTGTGTCGACCGAGATACCGCGGTGCGTCTGCAAACTCCCCCGACATCTTGGAAAATTCGTGTGAGCAACATCAATTTGAATAGCATCACCCTTTCTCTGTCCGTTGTGCGTAAACTCGACTCCAATATATCTAAAGGCGCCAGCCTCTTCGAGCTGCGGCTTCTAGTTACGAGGAGTGATTATTCTTGGTCAGATTTCGGGTCCGGTAGTACTTCATGTAGCGTTTATGGATAGGCCGTGGGTCTTAGCGATGTGACTGAACCGTGAAGCTATACACTGTGTAGGCCATAGTGACCTTACACTAGTAGGTCAGTCTCGTCAGCGTATTCGAGAAGTCTGCGTCTGAGTGTATAGAAAACACTGGAAACTGTCCTCTCGAGAACTGAGTCGATGCGTAAAATGGTCGACAGGATGCAAACTTGCTCAACACCAGGTTGGATTGCGAACGACGGTGATGGTGCGGCAGTATGAATATCGGCAGGAGTAATAGTAGTGAATGTAAAAACATTTTAATTCAGTTGAAATATATGCCTATTCTATGTAGTATGTAGTGCAAATAAAGGAAACCTAGTATAAAAAAAGATTTCTTCTTGCCATCATCCATACTTAATCCTCACAACTAAAGAACCAGGCGAACTTCTAGAAGCACGACTTTCCATGTTTCACTCGGTTTTTAAGCCACTAAAATGAACATAAGTACTCTTTGAGGCCCGATCGTACTTCGCCTTTTCAATTTACTAGGTAACTTAGTTGCCTCCGCATACTTTAACAAATGTAGGCCCTATTTTTAGGCGAAGAGCCGAGGACTATCGTAGTATTATGAAGTTAGTCTGTCTGGACTTTGCGAACTCAATGTGCGAGAAGGCAGCTGCTCGATCTGAAGGGGTATTTTCATTGAAATGTGAAAAATTAACATCCCCTCTGAGAGGAAATACCTCATTCAGGAGTCTTGTTCGGGCATTCTGTTCCTGCATCCATTGTTCGTTTCGTTTCTTCCACACCTCCGCTGCTTCTTGTCTGAAAGAAATATAAGCTTATTTTACAAGCAGAACATATAAATTGAGTATTTATTGTATATATAGTACGAACTTATTTCGGTTTTCGGGATTTAACTCTTTCTCCAATGGTTCTGCACAGAATACATGACCCTAGATTTCAATGTGCGAAGTGTGCAGTGCTCCACCTGTGTCCAACGAACTACACTTTATCTCACAGCATAAGGAAATATTACCTGAACAACGCTCAAATTCTCGTAGAACCTTCGCAGCAAGATCTCAGAATTTAGATACAGAACAATCTGAAGTCACCGTTACAAAGTGTCCAGGCTGCAAACAAAGCAGCCTATCAAAAGGGGGTTTGTAGTTTTCGACAAAGATTTCTTGGCAAAGTGCACGACACCTTCGTTCGACCACATCTAGACTATGGCATACCGGCGTGGTGACCATGGCTTGCAAAAGAAACAACATGGCTCGAGAAAGTGCAGCGTCGGGCAACAAAGCTAGTAAGAGGTATAAGAAACCACTCTTACATAGAAGGGCGAAACTTAATTGCTCCTCTACCAGATCGACGATGCCCATATATTCGTCAAAGCATCGAGCTCGTGGTGCAATGGTAGAATGGTAAACTCAATGACCAAAGGTCCCGGGTTCGAATCTCGGGGTTCCAACCCTTAAGATAGGGTATGACCGGCTGATGACGACTAACAGAGCAGAAATGGCCATTCCGGTCATTATTTGCCTTGTCGGATCCATTCCAAAAACTGGAATACCTAAATTTATTACCTCTGCATTACGGGCAACAAAAGGGGATTTTATCTTAGTTTACAAGATAATACACGGCCTCGGGAAAGTGCACTTTGAGGACATGTTTCAGTGGCACCTCTTGCTTCATCTCCGCGAATACACAATGAAGCTGCGCAAGATGTCCAACTTTAATCTCCGTTCTGTTCACACAACGGGCCATACAACAGTGAAATAATCTTCCGCAATCAGCCGTGGAGGCCACAGTCCTACAGCTGTTCAGCCAACGCTTAGATAATTACGTGTGTCCCCTGTTGTCCCTCGACAGTATGAATTCGAACCAACACGACACAAAATTCAAAGTTATTTGTCACTGTCAATACTATTTTAATAGTGACAATTCTTACGCGTGCGTGTACAGATGTATATGACGCACCGGGATGTAATCAATAGGGTTTCCAAAAGCATTGCCTATTACCTTCACCAAATAAACTAAACTGAAACTCCCAACTGGCTTCGCATAAATACTCTTCTCTAGTCAGATAGTCGTAGTGGCCAGCCTCTTCCCTAACAGTGTCAGCTGCCTCAACAAGATCGTCATTGATCAAGGCTGAGAAAATAATTTGAAACCATTTGTGGATAGTGTGCATCCGCTGTCACCACTAAAGGTGCACGCTGGTTGGAAGCGGTTGCCGCATTTTTTAAACTGACGTACGGATTTTGAAATGCGAGAGGCAGCAGAAGAATGTAAAATATTGGAGTACAGGACACTTTCCAATAGGACCTTCATATTTAATAATTTCAATGAAAATAAAACCGGAAAATAACTTACGAATCTAGGTCCACCATTTGGGCCTCGCGATTTCGTTCCCGTTGTAAGTCGTCCTCCAGCATGGAGAGCATAGCAGTGCCCTCTGAACGTAACCTTTCTGCGGCATCCTGCGCATGGGCCTGATTTAGACTCTGCTGTTGAACCACCTTAGAGAGCCATTGTATATCCGTCTCGATATCCCCCTGTACTTGACGAGCACGACGTCTCAGAGCGGTGGCGTGCTGGCGCAACAGGGCCTTTCCCTGGCTTTGCCGTCTCCGTTCCTCTTCAATTGCTTGTCGTTCCTCTTCCAGTTCGCTTATCCTGACTTTCTCTGCCAGCAGGTGCTCACGTTCGGAATTCAGTTCATTAACCTGGCGGCATTTATACTTTATTAGTAATGTCACTGTCACAACCAGCGCCTGCTCAACTTAACGTCCGTCTCCAGTAATAGACGGCAAGGTTTGGAGAAGGTCATGGAAAATCAGGCAGGGGAGGAAACCTAGATGAATGTGGGTTTAGTGTTTTCAGTAAATAGAAACCAGCAAATTTCGGAGGAGTTTCTCCAGTAGCGATCAACGTGAATTTGGCAGGAGGTCAAGGCCTGTCCCCAAACATTAGGTAGTTAACTCGATTATTCCAAGGCCCTCCAGCAAATTTATTTATGGTAAAGTATGTAAACTGTTTCATTTGCGGTAAGCCAATGAAGTGCCTTTTACTGTTTCAAGCAGACATAAAATTGAAGGACGTCTCTTTGCCAATCCCTTTGTCTTTGTCAGTAATATTCATCTGCTTAGTGATAAGTATTTAAGTGAAGCAAACCATTGAGTACGTTTTACAATGAACGTGAAATAGATGAAGTTAGTAACAAAAGTGGTGCTGTGGTCCAGTAGTGCCTTTTCAACCAAAATTGAGCAGTATAACCCCAGAATTCAAAGTCAGTTCACATGTCACTCAGATTCAGAAGCACTGGTAGAGACAGTATTGGTTTCAAATTAACTTGATGGGCACCATGTTCGTGTTTGCTGCAATTAAACTGTCTGCTCAGAATAATGCCGGTGTGAGAACTAAGAACATGTTTAAAATAAAAGACTGTCTGCATAAGCCCTGGTAAAGCTTTAGTCTCCATTTCTAAGGTTTCAGGCAGTGACTGAAAGTAACTACCAGGTCGGTGAACATTTGGTCCAAGTTAGATGACATGGTACATATATCATGCGCTTTTTGAATGTACTACAACCCTGACACTGGGTGCATTCTAGCAAGTGTAGTTAAGTCGGACAAAGCGTATATCCATTACTAGTAAAACTAGTCCTTCGAGTGGACGTTTCATAAAACACTTTCCTCAAAACACTGACAAGGGGAATAGCGTGCAATATAAAAAATGGTATATAGTTCTCATTGAGTATGCACTACAAAACATTTATGCCTTGCACAAAATGTCGTTAAGTGTAAACCTCCTGCTCCCGTTGCTTCAGCTCCTGTACTTGTTCATGTAGAAATTCGACGTGCCTTCTGTCCTTTTCCTTCTTCTGTTGACGCTGTTGCTTCTCAACTGCATCTTCCTGCATCCGATTGTCAGCACGTTCCTCTTCGAAAGCCATATTGTCAAGCGCATCTTGGGCTTGAGCCTAAAATTGTGAAGGCACAGTGAGTGAGTCAACATGGATTGTGCACCGTGCACTGGTCCACAAGCATGTAACTAACTATAATTGACCTTCTTCATCTTTGTACTCAAACGCCAACTTGCAATCAGTTCTTTAATTACTTAAAAGATGCAGGTATTGTCTTTTGTGGACAAGTCTGCATCTCCACCTTATCTTGTAGGAGGCAGGGGATTTTACTTCGGTGTTTTGCGCAACACCCACCACACCCACACCCTTAACTGACAAAGCTAGAGTCTCAATATACGTCTGCCACACACGATCTGTTCCCACTGTATGCGACAGGCTACCATACAGGCGGGTGGGACCTCATATAAGCAAGAGTGTTATGAAGGCTAGACTGCAGCCTGATTCTCAATCCTCCAATTATCCCAAAGATACTCCTATAGGGATCATGCTATTTCGGTTGTTGGCAATTTTCTAAGCCATGATTCTTAGCGGGTCATAGGAGATCAAGCCGCGTCAGACCTACTCGATGAGAAACGAGCAGATTTTTTGGGATGATATAGCCGCAGTATCAGTATTACTATATTTTCTCTCTGTTGCGTACTAATTGACTGTTCGAGCCCGTCGGTCGACGGGCGATGTGAGAGGCTGCAGTGGCTGCCGTAGCGTGAAGACTTAAACGTAAGGAGCATGTCCTTAAACGCATTCAGTGTGCCAGCCTGACCCCTGTAATGGCTATTGTGATTAAAGTTCAGACTTTTCTGAAACGAAAAAGTGATGATACTGAGTAAGGCTAACTGAAATTTTCCCATTTCATAAAGTTAATTAGGCCGTGGAGCGCGCGCCTCCGGGGGATAATAACCCAATGTGTCAACTTCGTTCGGTTCTGGGTAATGTGCTTCATCTTTAACATTCGATGATCATTTTATTGTATTGTATTGAAAACTTGACACCCGTCTGCCAGTTATAGCAGGAAACCGGAAGAATTTCGAATAACTGTTGTGGAATTAAAATAAAAACTCAAGTGCACTTGCGATAGTTACAGCCTGCAAAGAACCAACTCGATATTTTTACATCAATGAATTCGTCTTAAAGTGCAAAAATGTTAACGAAGATCAATCCAAATGGTGGCTAGGTGTCGGAGC